TTGTGACGAATGCAGCTATCGATTTTTTTTTGCATGCTAGCATGCTAGTTAACATTCGTGTCAGTCAGCTGTTGGCTCTCACGCTGGCCAGTAGAATCTTCCTGCCTATTCATGGCAGCCAGCTATTGGCTCTCACTCTGGCCAGTACAAAATGGCCGCAAACTACATGAAAAGTGCCGTAGAAGCATGAAAAAATTGGTTATTTCCACTATCGATGGGAGTTGGGAAATGCAAAGTGGATCTTGGCCTTCGTGCTAATCCGTCGAAAATTGCGGCCGTGCATTCGTTACACACACACACACACACACACACACACACACACACACACACACACACACACACATCCAGACTGTGTTTTGTAATTTTGTTAGGTTTATCTTACATCAGGGATTAAGGGATCGATTTGGCTTTGTCAGACTTGTCTATTTCTCTATCCTGTCTAGCGTTCGAGGATATGTCGTTTTTTTTTTAAGCTAGCTGCCATATTGAAGTGTTCTGACGCATTTAAGTGGCAGGGTGTTACCAGCTGGCAAACAACTTCGGCCTTGTCAACGAGAGCCGCGTCATTCCCGAACAGAAAACTCTCTGAACAAATGCACCGATAATATAGTGCCTCGAGAATTGGATTGATTGCTGTTCTTTCACGTTCCGAAGTGTATGTCATCCTTCTGCATCATATGGGAGACTTAAATAATTTGTGGGGGGGAGGCACAACATTTTATCATGGTTTTAAAAACAGTGATATATATATATATATATATATATATATATATATATATATATATATATATATATTCATATATATATATATATATATATATATATATATATATATATATATATATATAAAGAGATGAGAGATTTTAAAAAACGACATACAAATATAAGAAAAACAAGTACAACGACTGAAATCAAGTGGAGAAAAATATTATCAGAGAATCAGCATTATGTGTCATAGATTGATTACACTAAGACCCAGCAACCATTGACGAGCATCAATACATCTGGATCTGCGATTGACGTGCATCAATACATCTGGATCTGCGATTGCAGAACGTCTAATAAATAATCTGATTTGTATCACAAGAGATTTTCTCAGAATTGTCAGCAGAGCAAATTCAAATTACAATTTATAAATTGCTCGAAACTTTGCATATTACTATTTCGTTATGATTGTGAGTATATTGCATGCACTTCCAGTTTTCCTTAAAACTTCCCCATTGCTCACATGCGCTTGAGGTATTCCAACCATTCTTCGGCAGAACCTGCTGTTGCTTCTATTTTTGTCTTGATTCTGTGAAGTGATTGTTCCGTATTGTCTGCTATACAGAAGTAGGGCAATTTATCCCGAGTGATAATGGCAGCGCCCTATTTATTTTATTCGTACGTTTAATAGTATTTTTTCTTAGATGCTTGATTGTAATCGAAAGTAGAGTTATGCGCATGTAATTCTAGCAGTCTGATATGCCTCCGTACTTTTGGCAAAGTTTATTTATGATGGTTACCTCTTTTAAGTTGTACGATAGCTTCCTCTGATTCCCAGCAAGACTCCTTGAAGACTTTCATACTGACTTTTCGACAGCTTTTCCTTATGTCTGTTTATCAACAGCTTTCACAATTTCGTGTGGTTTGGGCACTTCACTTGGTTTTTTGTTGCTGACACTTAAGTTATATAAATAATGTATCGAAGTCGAAAAACGAGAGGTTGAGAATAGAATTGGTGTCGCTGCGGAGAAGCAAGCCGTCCGGGCTCTATAGCGGAGACGGAAAGATTTCGTTAGAAACAAAGCAAAGAGCGTTGGATTGCTATGCAATATCAGTCCTGGATCTATGGGAGTGAATGTTGGACCATTTATCTACGGATGTGAAAGAACATTAGAGGCAGCAGAAATGTGGTTATACAGAAGGATATTGAGAATTCCGTGGACGAAATGAGTAGTCCAAAAGGAAATTGTAACAGAAAGAACAATTCTATTCAGAATTTGGAAAAGACAACATTTTGAGGATAGAAGTGGATAGGTTCACTTATGGTCCGATTCACACTCCAAGGTCTTTTGAACAGGAGAAGAGGTTTATCCCTTGTTTCCTGTTTAGTGTTGGGTTTCCGGTTCCTTCTAAAATCTACTTCAACTCTATACTTCTAATGTCTCTGCCTGAACACTGAAATTTTATTCCCTAATTTTTCTCCTCAGTAGGAGTTGATAGGTTCGGCTGTCGTCCAGTTCACTATTCTCCATTTTCTTTGGAACAGGAGTAGAGGTTTATCCCTTGTTTCCTGTTCACGATTAGGCTTCCGGTTCCTTCTAAAGTCATTTCGTTTTCTTCCACTCCCAGCAGCCCCTTGCGTCTCAGTGTTGCTTTGGCCTTGCTTGGGTTGAAGTGATTAAAAAAATATAATTTTAGCGAAAATAAGTAAAAACGCTACTCTTAAAAAAAAAAGATAATTTTTGAGTTATTGTATTGGCGTACACGTCCGCTCAAACTTATTCAGTCGTATTTTGTTTTAAAGTACGAGATGACTTTAAAATGTAGCCGATTTTATTTTTCCAAGTTGATGTTAAAATGATTGATGCAAATCATTGTTAATTTATTTAAGATGGAATAATCTATTATGACATGTCTCTAATTTGTATTTACATACATTATATTTATTTTCAATTTTCCTAGCTGACACTATTTACATTATTCGGACTATTGATCTCATCTTTGTCGCCATATTTATTACAACGTTTCGGCCTTTCAGTATCTGTCTATATTTCTGAGATGATGCATTATGTATACTATTTACATTATTCGGACTATTGTCCTCATCTTTGTCGCCATATTTATTACAATGTTTCGGCCCTTCAGTATTTGTCTATATTTCTGAGATGAGTTTTTATGTACACTATTTACATTATTCGGACTATTGTCCTCATCTTTGTCGCCATATTTATTACAATGTTTCGGCCCTTCAGTATCTGTCTATATTTCTGAGATGAGGTATTATGTACACTATCTACATTATTCGGACTATTGTCCTCATCTTTGTCGCCATATTTATTACAACGTTTCGGCCTTTCAGTATCTGTCTATATTTCTGAGATGAGATATTATGTATATTATTTACATTATTCGGACTATTGTCCTCATCTTTGTCGCCATATTTATTACAATGTTTCGGCCCTTCAGTATCTGTCTATATTTCTGAGGTGAGTTTTTATGTACACTATTTACATTATTCGGACTATTGTCCTCATCTTTGTCGCCATATTTATTACAATGTTTCGGCCCTTCAGTATCTGTCTATATTTCTGAGATGAGGTATTATGTACACTATCTACATTATTCGGACTATTGTCCTCATCTTTGTCGCCATATTTATTACAACGTTTCGGCCTTTCAGTATCTGTCTATATTTTTGAGATGAGGTATTATGTACATTATTTACATTATTCAGACTATTGTCCTCATCTTTGTTACCATATTTATTACAACGTTTTGGCCCTTCATTTTCTGCCTATATTTCTGAGATGAGGTATTATGTGCACTATTTACATTATTCGGACTATTGTTCTCATCTTTGTTGCCATATTTACCACATTTCGGCCAATGTACGCTCCGTGGTTGTAATGTCGAAATGAATCCTATATTTTTCAATAGTATCAGGTAGACTGTTCTAGTTCCAAGTGCCATGTCTAATGGATGTCAGTTATCTCCTGTTAATTCCCTCTCCAAGTTGTCCACATAAAAAGATCAGGAAATTGAACCCGACTCCTTTGAATAAAAGATTATAAACAATTTTTCCGATTGATGTGAAATTTAGACACTTGACACTGAATCCATTATTTAAACGAAATGAATTATTTAGCGAAAACGACAATTTTCAATTGAAACTGATTTCGGCCGGAAATTGTGATGAATCGAAATCTTCATAAATAGAGACCTTCTAATATTTAAAAAGTGAATGTCAAAGAAAACAAACAATAATGGCCACTTTTATTAAACTCCAAAGATTTTTCCGAATAATAGTAAATGTACATTAGACAGACTCATCTCAGAAATATGATGACAGGCGATTTTTAAAATAGTCCGAATAATGTTAGTTTAGTAAACTCATCACAGATATAGACAGAACTAAAAGGCAAAACGTTGTGATGAAATGTATGACGACAAAGGATGAGGACAATAGTGTAATGTAAATAGTGTAGGAAATCTCAGAAATATAGACCAGATATTTTTTAATGGACAAATATATTTCATATGATCCATTATTTAATACTTAGGTTAAAATAAAATTTGTATTTTATATGAATACTAATAAAATTGAGACGAATAGATTTGGGGGCCTTCATCATGGATTTGGTGGTGACTCAAGAGTCCTTTGAAACCCGCCCTGTCTACATACACACACAGAGAATCTTTCTCGATCCTGTAGAAACAAAACAATCACTTTTCTCTTTTGACTTCCAGTTTTCATGTTGTGAACCGCTTCATTATAGAAAGATGCTTCTTAATCACAAATTCAAAAGGGACTTCAGTTGTTAAGACGACGCGTTCGACACGTTTGTTGGAAGTTTGTGATTTCATGCTGTTGGATATGGCGGCCAAAGTTTGTATGAACCAAGAATGTTGCAATAAAACGCAATGGGTATTACGATAGTGCGTACTATTAATAACGCGAGAACAGTGAAAATGTTCATTGTTTTCTTTTTTATCTGCGGATATATGATTTTGCATTGGAAGAAGATTCCAGGTATATGTCTATCCTGGAGACATTTCAACTAACACGAGACGTCGGCATCATATGTGAAGTATTTTATTTACTTACAACATCCGGGTTGCAGCTTTTAGGTCATCGTGACCTAATTTTTCATCGCGTGCCTGAAGCAAAATTAATAATGACAAACAGAATTTGATGCTTAGTTATAAGTTAAGGTGTCCTTTTATAAAATACTAGATCGATGTTTGGTTAAAGACATTGCCTGGCCATTTATAAACACAATTATTAAGAAGGAAAAATGAAGAAAGCAGACGATAAGGCGCTCCGGGCAAATAGAGAAAAACGGCATCGTTTGGAAATCAACAAAGTGGTTATTTTGTTACGGGATAACGGCGACAAGAGTTGGAAGATGAGTGTTAGGGAAGGAGTGTGATAGACATCGGTGGAAAGAATTGTGCTGGGATAATTATGACAACGCCATGTTTAAGTGATCAAAATAGGAAAGAGAAACAAAAGTAAACAGAGAAAGGTTCAAGTCAGAAAAGTAATGTCTAAAAAAGAGAATAGAAAGAAAGAAACAAAGGATGAATGAATATAGAAATTAAAGAAAGAAAAGAAAAAAGAAAGAAGGAGAGAAGAACATTAAAAGAAAGAGAAGAAAGAAAAACGTAGATTTTTTTAAGTAAAAAGAAAAAGGAAGAATGGGAGAAAGAACATACAATCAGGGAAAGAAAAAAGAAGAAAATGAAAGAAAGAAAAAATAAAGCGTATAGAAAGAGTGAAAAAAAGGAAGAAAAACATAGAATTACAGAAAGAAAGAGAAAAAGAAAGAAAGGAGGGAAAGTATTAAAAGATAGAAATGAAGAAAGGAAAACGTAACATTCAAAATTAAAAGAAAATAGGATTAAAAGAACATAAAATTAAAGAAAAAAAGAAAGAAAGAAAAAGAAAGAACTATATAAAGAAAGAAGAAGAAAGAACTAAAGAAAGAAATAAGAAGAAAGAACTAAAGAAAGAAAGAAATATGTATTAAATCGAAAGAAAAGAGAAAATAAGAGAAATAACCGGGTATGAAAGAAAAACAAAGAAGAAAAGAAAGAAAGATGATGTATATAGAAAGAAAAGAGAGAAAAAGAAAGACCGTAAAATGAACGACAAAAAGAGTTAAGGGAAGACAGGATTAAAGAAATATATAGAGAAAGATAGAGCTTAGAAAAATAGAAAAAGAAAGACAGAACAAATGGAAGAAAGAAATGAAAAAGAAAAGTATTAATGGTTAGAAATTAATCAGAAAGAAAAGAAGCGTTAATGATTATGAGAGAAAAAATAAATAAATATGGCGGCGTGATGAACGCTGAATAATAATAATAATAATAATAATAATAATAATAATAATAATAATAATAATAATAATAATAGCTCCTTTTCCAAAGTAATTAACAACTAATATTTCACCAGAAGTGTCTTGACTCATTATTTCCAATTATTAATTTCGAAAATTTTATGTGCACTTGAATTTCCTTTCTTTTATGCACGAGGAGGGGGTGCTGAAAAGTACTCGGCCCTATTAACTACACAGAATGAAAATTTAAATGAGCATACATCAGAAAACTGATTTTACGAAACTGAGCCAGGTCGAAAATTTTTCAGTGTCCCACGACGTAATATTTTTTATATTGAATACTTTTGTCAATCATTTTCTTCTGAAATTTTTTTAACCATTTTTTTTTTCAAAATCTTTCTTTTTTTCCTTTACTTGTACCCTTCTTTCTTTTTTCTTTTGACATTTGAAAATATTCTTTCTTTCTTTCTTTTTCTGGCGTCTACATATTCCTTCGCTTTTTTTTTCTACCTTGGCCACATTCTTTCTTAATATTTTCCAATTCTTTCTTTTGCTTTATTTCTTTCTCAGTATTTCCCAACGCTTTTCTTTCTTTCTTTCTTTCTTTCTTTTTTTTCTTTCTTTCTTTCTTTCTTTCTTTCTTTCTTTCTTTTAAATATCAATATTTTTCGCTTCTCTATTTTTGAATTTTTATTTCGTTTTATTCCTTCTTTCTTTCTACTTATTATTGCTTAAATTACGTATTTCGTAAATACACTGCTGCCATTTTCTTTTTTCTTCAACCTATTCGTCTTTTTTTCTTTCTTTCTTTCTTTCTTTCTTTCTTTCTTTCTTTCTTTCTTTCTTTCTAGGACTCTTTTTTCATTACTTCTTTACTTCTTTCTTTCTTTTTACGCCACTTTTTCATTACTTTTTCCTTCTTTCTTTCATTCTCTTATACGTCTCTTTTGTCAGTACTTCTTTCTTTCTTTTTACGCCTTTTTTTCATTATTTTTTTCCATGTCTTTTTTTACGTCTCTTTTCTCATTACTTCTTTCTTTCTTTCTTTTTGCGTCTCTTTTTTCATTACTTCTTTCCTTCTTTCTTTCTTCCTTTCTTTTTACGTCTCTTTTTTATTACTTCTTTTCTTCTTTCTTTCTTTCTTTTTACGTTTCTTTTCTCATTACTTCTTCCTTTTTCTTTCTTTCATTCTTTCTTCCTTACAGTTATTCATAACCTTTCTTTCAAGCTTTATTTCAATCGTTGATTTCATCCGCCTTTTCATTCATACACCCATAAATTTTTATTTTATATTCATTCTTATTCTCATTTTCTTCCATCCTACATTCATTCATTTCCTTTCTTTTCTTCATTAATTCTCAATCTTTCCCGCTTTTATATTCATTCCTTCTTTTTATTTCTAGCGCTCATTCATTAGGATCCATTTCTTAATTACCGTTATTCCACGTGTATCATACACGCTCATCCATAATACGCACCCTTAATATTGTGCTGAAAGTGTGGGATAATATGGCATAATACGCACCCCATGTTTGGTAATCAAACCCTATAAATTGTACCACACCAATTTCATTATCGACAGTTTCTTACTCTTATTTAGAAAAATGGTTTTAAACAATAGAATAGTATTATTCTAATTGGGTTTTATGATAATTCTTATTTTATTTTACGGCAATTTTTAAAAGATTTTTTGTAACTGGGCATAATACTCACCCCTGTTTTGGCTTATTATTTTTTTTAGAAAAAATGCGTATTATACATGGGAAATTACGGTATTTTCCCGTTTCTCTGTTTTACACTCATATATTATTTACTTTTCATTCTTTATTTTATAATTCATACGCTATATTCATTCTTTCTTACAATAATTTATTATCGTCTTCATTTCACACTCATTCAAATAATTTCTTTGTTTTTTTGCGTATATTCCATATGTCTTTTTTAAAATTATCTTTCTTTTTCTTTTCCTTCTGACATTCAATCATTTTCTTTCTTTTCTTCATTTATTTTTATTTTTATTTTTCTTTCTTTGTATTTATTTCTTATTCTTTCTCTTTTTTCTTGCTTTCTCTTTATTTCTTTCTTTCTTCTTTCATTTTAATTCTCAATTCTTTCTTTTTTCATAACTTCTTTCATTCTTTCATTTTACTTTTGTCTCTCTTTCTTTCTTTCTTTCTTTTTTCTTTATTCATTACTTCTTTTATTTTCTTTCTTTCTTTCTTTTTACTTTTCATTCTTTCTCTTTTATTCTGCCTTTCCGTTTCTTTCTTTCTCTTTAGTTCTCTCTTTCTCATTACTTCTTTCCTTCTTTCATATTACTTTTGTGTCTCTTTCTCTTTCTTTCTTTTTTCTTTTAACTTATTCTTTACTGTTTTCCTCTCTCTTTCGTTTTACTACTCTTTTTTCTTTCTTTTTCTCTTTTTTCATTATTTATTTCTTCTTTTCATTTTAAATTTGTCTCTTTTTCTTTCTTTTTACTTCTCTTTCTTTCTCTTTTTCATTACTTCTTTCTTTCTTTTTTACTGTTCTCTGTCTTTCTTTTTACTTCTTTCTTTCTTTCTTTCTTTTCTTTTGTTCTCTTTCTGTCTCCCATCCTTTCTTTCTTTTTCCTTTTCGTTTGCTTTCTTTCTGTTTTCAATTCTTTCTTTCTTTCTTTCTTTCTTTCTTTCTTTCTTTCTTTCTTTCTTTCTTTCTTTTGTTTTCTTTCTGTCTCCCATCCTTTCTTTCTTTTTTCCTTTTCGTTTGCTTTCTTTCTGTTTTCAATTCATTCTTTCTTTCTTTCTTTCTTTCTTTCTTTCTTTCTTTCTTTCTTTCTTTCTTTCTTTTGCTTTACATCTTTTTTTCCTTCTTTAAATCTTGAATGTCTCTTTTGTTTTTTCTCCGTTAAATACATCTTTATTTATTCAATCCATTACAATCATTTTTCTTTAAGAAGAAAAGAGTCCGATTTGCGAGTAGCAAGAATGAAAAAAAAAAAAAAAAAGATCTCATGAAAACAATAAACTTCAGGTTTTTAATGAAAGATAATTTAATTGTTATAATTCAAAAAAAAAATCCCTTTCACTTTTTTTCCTTTTAATTTTGTTCTGCATTATTTTCAACTTATTCGATATTTCTTTCGTCTTATGTCAATAGTTTTATTTCTTAAGGACTCTTGTTAATTAATTCATTTTAAAAAGCGAATTAAAAAAGTCAAAATAACCGCGGGAAGAAGAACAGCCCATTGAAAGACGGCCGACACACGCATGCGCATACTGCACCCATGCGAAAGCAGGCTGCCTCTTCGGCTAAGAAGGACAGCCATATATATGTATATATACTGATGCGCGTAAGCACACTAAGAGAAGGGAGCAGAGGCGTGTGCCTCCATATATGAGCACGCTTGTCCACACGGATTAAAAGAGATTCTTTCTTTCTTTTGCTTTCTTTTATTTCCTAAGAATTAAAAAAAAAATCGGGAAAATTTCGAACAATGGTGAGGGGAGATAATTTTTGATTTATGGTCTGGTGAACTACTCTTGGTGGGTATTTCTGGAGGAAAAAATTCTCTTAGTTTCCTGCAGTTAAAAAAAATTTCTGAAAAGCGAAAGAAAATAGTGTAAGATGAATGGGTGGATTGAAGAAATCAAGGCAAGGGGTCGATAGTGTTAAACAAAAAAAAAAAAAAAAATGAAAAAAATTAGAAGGGTGATAGATAAGAAACCAAAGTCAGAGGAAAGAAAAAATCTTAAAGCGTCAAAAGGAAGGAAAAGGAAAGAAAAAAAGGAAAGAAAAAATGAAAGAAATAATGAAAGAAAAAATCTAAGAAAAAAGAAAAAAGGAAAGAAAAAAGGAAAGAGAAAAGAAAAGAAAAAAGGAAAAAAAGAAAGAAAAAGGAAAGAAAAAGAAAGAATAAAGGAAAGAAAAGGAACGAAAAAGAAAAGGATAAAAAACAAAAAAAAAATGGAAAAAAAGGAAAAAGTGAAAATAAAATGAATGAAAAAAGGAAAGAAAAAGGAAAAGAAAAGTAAGAAAAAACAAAGAAAACAGGAACGAAAAATGAAAGAAATAATGAAAGAAAAATGATAAAAAAGAAAAAGGAAAGAAAAAAATGAAAGAAAGAAGGAAAGAAAAAGGTAGGACAAGTGAAAGAAAAAAGGAAAGAGAAAGGTAAGAAAAAAGTTAGAAAAAAAGTTAAAACAAAAGGGAAGAAAAAAGTAAGGAAAATGAAAGAAAAAAGGAATGAAAAATGAAAGAAAAATGAAAGAAAAAATGAAAGAAAAAAGTAAAACAAAATAGAAAGAGGAAAGAAACAGGCAAAATTAAAAATTAGAAGAATTTGAGAAAGAACAAAGAATAGATTAAAAAAGCAAGGAAAAAAAAAAGAAAGAAAGAAAGAAAGAACGAAAGAAAAAGTATTAACAGAAAAGATAAACAAAAAGGAAGAAGGAATTAAAGAAATAAAGTAACTGTTGAATAAAAACATGAAAAAGAAAGAAAGAATAAATGAAAGAAAGAAAGAAAAAGAAAATATTAAAGAAAGAAAATGAAAAATGAAAAAGAAAGTATGAAAGGGAAAATAATGAAAGAAAAACGTAGACAGAATGGAAGAAAGAAAAGAAAGAAAATGTGAAATAAAAAAAGAAAGAAAAGACTAGAAAGAAAGGAAAAAGAGAGAAAGTAAGAAAGAAAAATGAAAGAACGTAAGAAAGAAAGAAAGAAAGAAAGAAAGAAGAAAAGTAAAAAGGCTGAAAGAAAAATTATCTAAACAAATAAAAGATGACAAAAGACCAAAAAAACAAAATTAAAGAATTGGAAGTATCTGTGAAAAATCAGGAACAGAAAGAAAGGAAGAGAGAAAGAAAGAAAAAAAGCGTTGGGAAATATTACGGAAGAATTGGAAGATATTAAGAAAGAAAGAATAAAAAGAAAGGCTAGAAAAAAAGGAAAAGGCAGAAAGTGTGAGGAAATGTTAAGAAAGAATGAAAGAAATAATGTTTTAACAGAAAATTGAACGAAAATAAAGAAAGAATATAAGAATTAAATTAGGGGGATCAAAAGAAAGAAAGAAAGAAAGAAAGAAAGAAAGAAAGAAAGAAAGAAATTAAAACAAAATGTGATTTGAAGAAAGAAAGAAAGAAACAAACAAACAAGAAGAAGAGGGGAGATTTATCTGGACAAATGAAAGGAATGAGAAAAAATGAATATATGGAAGGAAATAAAACGTAAAAAGAAATAAAATTAATACGAGGAAAAAGAGTATAAAAGAAAGAAAGAAAGAAAGAAAGAACCGAAAAAGCGATATGAAGCAAGAAAGAAAGAAAGAAAGAAAGAAAGCAACTAAAGAAGAAAGAAATGGAGATAGAAGGAAAGCAACAAAGAGGAAGCTTATACTTAGCACCAGGAAGAGGTAGCTGAAATTTCTGGGGCACGTAATGAGAATAGAGGTGGCTTGAAGAATCTGATACTCACAGGGCTTATAGATTGAAAGATTGACATTTTAAAGCAACGTGTGGCATAGCGGGCTTAAACAAGTGCATGACAAAACAGGGACTGGGAAAAGTAACAAATGGATAAAACATGTCGAGAACTACAAGGAATAGGAAGCCATGATCGTCCACGTTCTGAAGAGGCACGGTACATATAAAAGAAGAGATTCTAATCTGGGTCACTTGGTCCAACCACTCAGGCACGTGGTCACAGTAAGTCAGTGTGACTAACCTACACCCTTGTACAAATTAATTGAAACAACCGCTTTAGTTTCCTTTCTTTGAGCATAAGGTCAGTTTTAGACCCACTGGAGTGACAGGGTTTAATCGATTTCTATTTTTTCCTCGGATTAGGTCATTTGCAGTGGTGCGCAGTAATAGTGATCGATTTTGGGGTTTGTATGATGAAATTTGGCCCTGAAAAATACTGCGTCATCCGTGATTGCATCAGATTTTCATCACGCCCGGACACTATTGTCTCGACTGTCGATTAGTTGTTTTACGGCCATCGTCTACGATGGACTTTACTCCAAGGAAGCGTACGAAAATTGTAACGCAGCTCGAACACACTGTCACACCTTACCAGCGAACAAATCAAAGTACTATCCACAGTCTTGGAAACTCTCCTGATTTCAATCCAATCGAGAATCTGTGGTCAGTCTGCAAGGAACGACTTCATGGAATGGACATACGAAGTACTAACATGTGCACTGTGTCATGTTTCGTTGTAAAAATACGAATAAAAGTAAATAATATTTATTTATTAAGTAAACCTTTATAATAGCGTCAACTATTTACAATTTTCTGTATTCTAAAGAAAGTTTATGTATTCTAATACATTAAACAGTAAAAACTATTTATTAATATATTTATTAAGTAAACCATTATAGTACCTTTAACTATATGAATTTTATGTATTCTAAACAAATTTTATGGATTTAAAAGAAATTTTATGTATTTTAATAATTAAACTGTAAAAACTATTTATTAATATATTTATTTATTAAGTAAACCTTATAAAGGTTTACCTAATAAATAAATATATTAATAAATAGTTTTTACCTTCAACTATTAGAATTTTATGTATTCTAAACAAATTTTATGTATTTTAAACAAATTTTATGTATTCTAATACATTAAACAGTAAAAACACACAATAGACATTACACCTGTCCGCTTTCTTTCTCCCCCAACAGTCTTTGATTTTCAGCTTTGTTTGGTTGGCATACAGCGATATTAACAGAATGAAACCAGTTAGTAAAACGCTTTTTGGTTAGATACTGTTTTCTTTCTTTCTTTTTTGTTTCGATTTTTTTAAGTGCCGAGGATGTATTGTCCTCAGTTCGAAACAGACGACAATGCGATAAAATGTACTGTGCTCAAACCGGAAGTTTCACATTGGTCACCACGAGTGGATGATAACACTTCCGATTTACTGGCTTGATCTTTTATAGAAGTTAGAATTGAATTCACATTGGCCAGATTCGCATTTGTCGGAAAGAGACAAAAGAACTGTGATAGACCGCTGGAATATACCACAAGAGGATAGGTAAGAACAGACGTCGACAGATCTGACACTGTTGATATATATACTGTACAGGGCGCGATGGATGAATTGTCGTCTAAACGACGCAAAGATTAAAATAACTCTGGCATCTCATTTTAACAGATACATTTAGCAAAATTACACACACACACAAAAAAAAAATTGAAACTAGCAGGATGGCCCGGCGTTGCCCGTGCTTGATTCAAAAATCGTACGACTCATACAACAATCACTATCACTTGACTTAAAATATTTTTGCCCTTCTTTGTCTTTAAAGGAGTGCCCTTTGCCGTGCTGATGTAGCTACATGCCTTATTTCTTGCCTATCTCACACTGCGAATTTTTTCTAAGCTTTATACTAAACATTAAATCTGTTACGAAAAAAGAACTAAACAAAATGAACACAAAGCGATCAGCTTTAAAAAAGGACACGTAACTGGAAAAACCGAATGAAAAAAGAATGTTAACAACAAATACTTCTTCCCATCCAACCCAGTTCTGCGGAATTAGAATCGACGTGGAGTTTAAGCAAGCGAATGAACCAATTGGAGTAAAGTGCTATGCAGATTTAAATTTTTCCCACTTGTGAGGAATGCAGCTATCGATTTTTTATGCATGCTAGCATGCTAGTTAACATTCGTGTCAGTCAGCTGTTGGCTCTCACGCTTGTCAAAAGAATCTTTCTGCCTATTCGTGGCAGCCAACTATAGGCTCTCACTCTGGCCAGTAGAAAATGGCCGTAAACTACATGAAAACTGCCGTAGAAGCATGAAAAATCGATTATTTCCACTATCGATGAGAGTTTGGAAATGCAAAGTCAGTCTTGGCCTTCCTGCTTCATGTGCATGTAAATTTTGGTGCAAATTCGTCGAAAATTGCGGCCGTGCATTCATAACACACACACACACACACACACACACACACACACACACACACACACACACACACACATCCTGCCTTTTATAGAGAGAGACACTAAAGAGTACATTTATTCAATGAAATCGCCATCGGTTTCAGCTACAGCCTCCTGACGACTTCGGAATCTCTTGCATCTGTTCAAGATGGTTTCCTTCTTGAAGTTGGTGAATGCTGCGATAATCCTTGCATTCAGTTCATTTTTAGTGTTACAAAGAATTTTGTTGGTCTCTCGCTCAACTGCGCCCCATACATAATAATCAAGGGGGTTGCAGTCTGGGAAATTAGGTGGTCAGTTTTAAGGGTTTATGTGGTCGCTTAGATTTTCTGACAGCCATGAATGTGTTCACTTGTTTGTTTGGCATGGGGCAGAGTCCTGTTGGCAGATATAAGGTTAATCCAGTATCCACTCTTTTGACCCAGGGCAACACTACCTCTTCAAGACATTTCATCTAGGACGTCGCATTGAGTCTGAGGCCCTTTGCCTAGATGAATGGCGGTATAACGTCACTATAACATTTCGTAATCACCATCAGACTCATCTGACTCTTTCCGAATGGTCTGCACTGTCCTCAGACTGGAACCCAAATACTCCGAAGTGTTCCTAAAAGAGCTCTGTCGTTTCCAAGTTTCTGGCGGAATGAACTGCGTCAGGTTGCTGTTTTGTCACAGACGGTGCCGAGCCGACCCTACCATAGCTTGCTGTTAACAAATTCAAAAACATACAAAGGCGCAAAATAAAAAAATAAAATGGCGACAATTTAGTCATCACACACACACACACACACACACACACACACAAACACACACACACACACACTATATATATATATATATTATTATTATTAGAGGATATTATTATTTGAGTAGACACTGTTTATTAAATAGTATATTTACTTATTTTCGTCTACCGGCCTGAATAATTGAGAAATCTAATTAAAAGTATATGTGCACTCCGGCAGAATTCGAAACTGCATCTCCGTTGGCAGGGGAAACGACTTTTACGTCTGACGTGCTTATACCGTCTTTGAAAAGCAAAAAAAACGTATATATCTGTAGGAAAAAAATAAAATATATATATATCCATATAAATATAAAATATATATATATATATATATATATATATATATATATATATATATATATATATATATATATAAAAGTCAAAACAAAGTTATTCCATGGTCATAATTTATTACATTGGAATCGTAAATATGATCAATTCATCAGACCCACAAATTCAAAGATTTCTTTTTTTCTGATTTGTTTTTCTCTTTCTCTCTCTCTCTCTCTCTCTCTCTATCTAATATATATATATATATATATATATATATATATATATGTACATCTGTTTATTTAGGCAGCAAATTCTTCTTTAGTCATGTCTGATTGAAAAAAAATGGAAAAAATATGTCTGCTTATTTTTATCATAATCATTTCATATTCACGAATATTTTTCCGTATATTACAATCAAATGAAGCAAGAAATGGACTTTAACAGCTAAAATCACTGTTACAGTGCATTTCTTGCCTCATTTGATTGTAATATACGGAAAAATATTTTGACTAATACAATTTATAGCACATTAGTAAGCCTTTTGATTAATACTATTTATTGTATATTAGTAATCTTTCTGATCGAATAGAAGCATGATGGGAATAGACGATAAAAAATTTGAAATTTTCTGACACGCCTATCTTCTTTCTCAGCTAGAAATAAAACGTAGTTATACTGGAGTATATTTTTGTTCGCATCTCTTATAATACTGAAAAAATTTAGTAGTCTTGCAGTTGTTTGTTGTGCCCCTGACTTGGGTAGTGAAAAAAGCGATGCTCTTTGATTCACTGAAAGAGATAAGTGACATTATAAGAAGGAATTAAAACAAAAGAAATAGAGGTGCAGACCAATGATAAAATGGTACTTAATGTCCTATATTTAACATAACACTTAATTTATTGTTGTGGTTGGTCAGTTATCCTCAGCCAGTGTGTTTGTGTACTGCTCTGTTTTCCCTCTTCCAAAATGTCGACCCAGTGACACGACTTAGCAAAATATAATTATTTACAAAAATTACGGTATATTCCTGGTGAAATACTAATCTGAAGTCATTAGATATACTCAGTTTGAAATATTACACGGAAAGCGAAAGTGAAAGTTAAAGTGAAGACCTTTCATACTCAGACTGCAATATTACAGGGAAAGTGAAAGTGAAAGTGAAAGCTAAAGTGGAGGCAAATTCTATTGAATGCAAATATTATAAGGAAAGTGAAAGTTAATATGACGACCAATCATAATGAGAATGCAATATTACACGGAAAGTGAAAGTGAAATGCAGACCAATGATAATATGGCACTTGCTCCTCGTCCAAAAAGTCGGCCCAGTTGCTATCTTAATAACACAGAGCCCAGTTACAATAACCTAATAAAAAAACTATTTTATTT